GGGGGGTTGTTTCTTGTAAACTCCCAGCAATTTTGCCTATTCTGGCTTTTTCATTTCTGTTTGGTCAGCAATACTTCTACTGGTCATCTTGTAGCCTGGGAGGAAAAAAAGAGGAAAGGAAAACGAGAGTGATCTTCTGGTCCAAACCTGGGCAAAGGTTTTGTTTGGGTATTTTTATGTTCGAGTGGGTTTGTTTTTTTTTGTTTCTTGTTAAACCTGGGCAAGATTTCTTTTTTCGTTTGAGTGCGAGGGGGGGGGGGGGGGGGTTCTTTTTTAAGTATTTGTGTCTGTGGTGTTGTAGTTAGGCGCTTCATCGTCGCACGCAATGGACCCGAGTTCAATTCCCAGTAGGATCAGGGGAGAATATTTCTCAAATATCTCGGTCTTTCTGTTGAGATGTTGTATCTCTCTCAGTCCGGGCACATCCAGACGATATGAAAAAGCGTAGGGCTATTAATAATGCATTCAATTATTATTTCTCTTATCACCAGAGATGCCAACCTCAGATGAAAGCTTTTGTTTAGCTGTCCCCGTGGTTTTATGCACCTCGCATAATTTACCAAAATTTGATCATTTTTTGCATAATTTCTGATTATTTTTCTTCATCATTCTTTGTTAAAATTAATAGAATCGCATAATTTCACATTCTTCAGCTCATTTAGCATAATTTCAGATTTTTTCTTCAATAAAATGACGGGGACAGTTATAGTGAGATCCAAGTAGAATTTTTCCGAGAGATTTGAATGTGTCCAGTGGAGGAGAGCCAAGTACATGACTGGCGAAGGCATATTAGGGCCAATGTGGCAGATCAAAACTTCGGCGAAAAAACGGAAGCGGTTTTGCAACGATGAGTCTTTGTGACTATCACGACCTGTGTCATAGTAATTTTTATTCCAAATAAGATTTTGTTTAATCCGATAAATGAAAATTTGTGAGATCACACAGGTAAAAAATTGTTGAAGGTGAGAGACGGGTCGTGTTTTCGTGGGTCTCACGCCAAAATCGTGTATTTATTCTCAAATACTATTATTATTGTTATTATTATTATTATTATTAGGCCTATCATTGTTGTTATTATTATTATTATTATTATAATTATTATTATTACAATTATATTATATTATTATTATTAAAAAGCCTACTATTGTTATCATCATTGTTATTATTATTATTATAATTATTATCATTATCGATGTTATAATCAATATTATTATTACTATTGTTACTATTATTGTTACTATTATTTATTATTATCATCGTTATCTGTACTTGTGTTCCAACAGCGAGGCACTCACCGTCCAGGATGTTCAGGATGAAGGACAGGACGGCCCCACCAGCGGGAGGGGGAGGGGAGATAACTCTCACGCCGTTGTCCAGGCTGATCTCCAGCGGCGTCTTCTCCAGGACCAGGTAGTTCTTTAGGTCCGCACGCGTTATGATGGAGCCTGGGCACGACAACGATAGCTTGGACTTATCAAGTCATACATCATAATAATAACATTAATAATAATAATAATAACAACAATGATAATTATAATTACAACAATAATAATAACTACATTAATAATAATAATAATAATAATAATAATAATAATAAAGATAACAATAATTACAAAAATCATAATAAAGAAGCTCAGGACAGAGATAAATGGAAGGAGCTTGTATGTGGCCTATACCCTGCCAGGGGTGAAAGGCATTGATGATGATGATAATAAAGATAATAATAATTACAAAAATAATGATAATGATAACATTAACAACAAAAAATCATAATCATAATTTATCATTATTAATTAATTTTTTTTCAAATGTTCCTGATGAAGCCATACGACGAAAAGTTGAGCGCATTTGTAAAATAGGAAATCCCACATCTTCCAAGTCTCAACCTTTTTTATTCTCAGTCTACAATACTAATAATAAAATAATAATAATAATAATAATAATAACAACAATAATAATAATAGTAGTAGTAATAATAATAGTAATAATAATAATAATAATGAGAGTGATAATAACAATACTGATGATATTAACAATAATAGGCTTAATAATAATAACATTAATAATAATAATAATAACAATAATGATAATAACAATAATAATAATGATAATAACAATTATAATAATAATAATAACAATAATAATAATAATAACAATAATAATAATAATATCAATAACAATACTAATAATAACATCAATAGCAATAGTAGTAATAATAATAACAATAACAATAATAATAATAATAATAATAATAGCAATACTACTACTACTACTAACAATAATAATATGTAATAATAATGATAAAAACAATAATAATAATAACAGTAATAATAACAATAAAAAATACCATAATAATAGTAATATTAATAACAATAATAATAACAATAAAAAATAACAATAAAAATAACAACAACAAAAATAATAAAAATAATAATAGCAATAATAATAATAATAATACCAACAACAATAATAATATTAATAATAATAACAATAGTAATAATAGCAACAATAATAATAATAACATAATAATAACAATATTAACAATAACAGCGCAACTACCACTGACCTATGTCCGACAAATCGGCCATGATGTCGTCTGTGAGCGAGCCGTCGTAGAACGCCGCCATACCCTCCTCCGAGATGACCTTGAGGGTGCGGGCAAGCTGCGGCCTCGTCATGTTCTCCCCCTCCTTGAACAGCGCGTTCGTCTCTTTGTTGAAAAACACAGCTCTGGCCGAGGGAAGAGAATTTTTTTTTAAAAATCAAGACCACTTGGGTTTTTGTTTTAGTAAGAGTTTTTGTTTTAGTAAGAGTTTTTGTTTTAGTAAGAATTTTTGTTTTAGAAAGAGTTTTTGTTTTCAGTAAGAGTTTTTGTTTTAGTAAGAGTTTTTGTTTTCAGTAAGAGTTTTTTTGTTTTAGTAAGAATTTTTGTTTTTAGAAAGAGTTTTAGTTTTAGTAAGAGTTTTTGTGCTTGTAAGAGTTTTTGTTGTAGTAAGAGTTTTTGTTTTCAGTAAGAGTTTTTGTTGTAGTAAGAGTTTTTGTTTTTAGAAAGAGTTTTAGTTTTAGTAAGAGTTTTTGTGCTTGTAAGAGTTTTTGTTGTAGTAAGAGTTTTTGTTTTCAGTAAGAGTTTTTGTTGTAGTAAGAGTTTTTGTTTTCAGTAAGAGTTTTTATTTCAGAAAGAGTTTTTGTTTTAGTAATAGTTTTTGTTTCCTGTAAAAGTTTTTGTTTCCTGTAAGAGTCTCTGTTTAGTAAGGTTTTACACTGCTCTCGTCACTGCATACGGTCATATATGAGCGCCAAGGGGTAGAAGTCAACAGAGAAGTCTGAACGGCTTTAAATAAGAGTTTTACGGCACTTGCAACACTATAAGGTCATAGAAGGGCTGAAGATTAGAGGTGTTACAAGGGAGTAAAAAACACACGAAGGAGGAGGAGAGATAAGGACGATAGATATTTGATAGGAAAGAAGGAGGAGAGATAAGGATGATAGATGTTTGATAGGAAAGAAGGAGGAGAGATAAGGATGATAGATGTTGGATAGGAAAGAAGGAGGAGAGATAAGGATGATAGACGTTCGATAGGAAAGAAGGAGGAGAGATAAGGATGATAGATGTTCGATAGGAAAGAAGGAGGAGAGATAAGGATGATAGATGTTTGATAGGAAAGAAGGAGGAGAGATAAGGATGATAGATATTTGATAGGAAAGAAGGAGGAGATATAACGAAGATAGACGTTGGACAGGAAAGAAGGAGGAGAGATAAGGACGATAGACGTTCGATAGGAAAGAAGGAGCGTCCCTTTAATCAATCAAATCACTACCCTAAAATTACAACAAAGTTCTTTCTGCTCAGTACCTAGTTTTGAGAAATTTGACGTTTAAAAAAATTTTGAGTTTCACAACATCTCAAGCTTTTTTTGTTTAAGCAATTCTTTTAATACCTTGATAATGACTCTGAATAATCTGATGATTTTGATAAAGCAGAGAGAACATTTGGTTCCTGACCTCATGGTTGTAGTAATTCAAAACCACCAAAAATGTCAGCTAGAATTTTGTAACCTTCTGCGGTAGCGACATGCAGGATTCATACCGAGCAGGAGACTCTTTTCCCCAAGACTTTTCCAGAACCAGATTTCTTTTTTCCAAGACAAAAAATGTGTCATTTCCTAAGAAAATTTTTCGTTCAGCATGCAAAAATACATTATTATGGTGCACTTCATAATAAATAAAGTCCAGGCCTTCAAAACTTCGAGGAAATATTTTTTTACAAAAGATCTAGATTTAGTTAAAAATGTGTTTTTTCAAGATTTTTCCAAGAATTTCGCCAACTTCCCAAAATTCCAAGAGTATTCCATGTCTTGGAAAATAAAAACTATATTAAAAAAGTTTTACAGTTTTCCAAGACACAGAACACACAACACACACACACACACACTCTTACACACACACACACACACACATACACACACTCACACATTTTTTGACAATGGAGGTGACCCACACACTACAGCGACCGGCCTACCTCAAAGACGGCTCCGTGGTCAAAAGCTTTTTGTCATCTTGGATAGCATTGTGGAGACCAATTGGAACAGGAAATCCGCCGGCAGCCATTTTGATGGCGGGCTCGAAAACCTCCTTCCAGCGGAGACGGCCGTACTTCTGGTGAGCTGACCAGTAACCTTTGACCTCTGCCGGGACAGCGATGCTGAGGGGGCCTGGGGGGGACAGTTTAGTAAGAGTTTTACGGCACTTGCAACACAATAAGGTTATACAAGTTCCGAAGATTAAAGGTGTTACAAGAGAGTAACAAACATAAAAAAGAAGGAGGAGAGATATGGACGATAGATGTTTGATATAGGAAAGAAGGAGCAAACCACATCAGAGCACCCGCCAACCACCCACCTAGGAAGACGGTATACACGGGTAAATTACAGAGATATTGGGGGTATATACACACAAACAAAACTCTAACACACACAGTCGAACAAAGACACATACACTCTAACACACAGAACACAAACTCACCCAGACACATACACACAATACTCTCTCACACACAAAAAATACTCTCTCTCTCTCTCTCACACACGTACACACACACACACACACACACACACACACAACTCACCAGCACTAGAAGCAGAAGGGTCATCTTTATACATGTCTGCCGTAGCCTTTCCTGGCGCTGTCTCTCTCTCTCTCTCTCTCTCTCTCTCTCTCTCTCTCTCTCTCTCTCTCTCTCTCTCTCTCTCTCTCTCTCTCTCTCTCTCTCTCTCTC